TACTATGACTTTTTGTAGGGTGGAGCACCCTTGGGATCAAAGGTGGTTAATGATGATCATCAGAATATTAGAGGTGGAATAAACAATGATGCCCATTCTAATTCTTGGTAATCTAGCTCGTTAAATTCGAAGATGAATCCATGCTTTTCTTCTTATTTGTTTTCATGAATAGCTAATTAAGAAAGCTACTAAAATTGCCTTTAATTTCTTCATTAAATTGATCCTCTCTTTGTCTCCAAAATTTTGGGTGTCCCCAACCATATTATATATTGATTTTTTTATAGATTTCCCTTGAAATATTTTGAGATCCAAATTATACGGTAGACCAAATACAACTTATTACATATAAGATCAAACATAAGGTATACTTAATGTTTGTAATACCTGATAGAGTGATTACATTTTCAGGTGGAGATCAAGTAGTGGGAGTGGAGAGTTGAAGAACAAAGTGAAGATAAGGAGGAAACTAAGAGAGCCAAGATTCTGTTTCCAAACAAAAAGCGATGTCGATGTTCTCGACGATGGCTACAAATGGCGTAAATATGGTCAGAAAGTCGTCAAGAACAGCCTTCACCCAAGGTAACTAGTTAACACCACATTAATACATATATCTGAATGATTAATCAACCGTATTAGTCTTAATCAACTTTACCAATAGTTCCTAGTAACATTCTCTTGGTTAATAAATAATGATCACAGTATAATTAATCACACTGATTGATGATTGATAGTTTCGTAAAAGCTGAGGTATATAGGAACTTAATTTAGTTGCATCATAATATTCTCTCTTTTAGACTGTTGTCGAAACATTAGCTCATGTACTAGACATGACTGCTTATACATCTTTATACATATGTATATATTTTCTTTCATATTAAGAATACTTATTGTACGTAGGTTGCAGTTTTAGTATGTATTGTACGTCCCTCGAGGGCTATCATCATTAAGAGTGCAAAAAAATAGTTTCTATTTTTACCTCTTTCTTATTGTGCAATGTCTACACATATTTCCAACTATATTTTTTGCATAAAGCCTTATACAAATATTCACAAGTTTTACACGTTTGTTATTCTTTTTTTTTTTTTGTATAGTTAGTTCAATCTAATTATGTGTAATGTTGGAAGATAAAATGTGGAAATATATGTGGATATACAGGAGTTATTACAGATGCACACACAACAACTGTAGAGTGAAGAAGAGAGTGGAGCGACTATCTGAAGATTGTAGAATGGTGATTACTACTTATGAAGGTCGTCACAACCACATTCCCTCTGATGACTCCACTTCCCCTGACCATGATTG